TGATTAATAGCGTTTTGTGGGCGTGGCAGTGGTCCGATTACGACCATCGTTAACAGAAGTCCCCTATACACCAATTAGGTTAATCAACTACAATCAAAGCCTACTTATTTCTTCAATAGAAATAGCAAATTCCTTTGCAGAAACGTGCTCAAATTACTCAAATGACTCAAATTTTTCGTCAGAGTACAAGGCTGCGAAAAGCGTTACTATAGCCAAATCATACATTTTTCAGCCAACATCAAAAACAGCAATCGATCTAGATTCTGAAATCACTTTTATAGAATTGGAGCTAGCTCTACAGCATTCAAAGGGGATCACCCCAGGATATGACAGAATATCCTACCCCATGCTCAAACATCAACCCACCGCCGCAAAAATACAACTCCTACACACATTTAACAATATATTCGATTCTGGCCGATAATCTCACACGTGGCGCTTTGAAATCGTTTTACCTATACCCAAACCCAATAAACCTACAAATGAAATTTGCGAATGCCGTCCAATCTCTCTGTTGACATGCATGAGTAAAATTTTCGAAAAACTCTTGGCTAAAAGCCTAATGTGGTTTTTAATCAATAACAAATTAATAAGACATAATCAGGGGGCATTCAAAAGCAAAGCACGATAGACTCTCTGCTCCACATCCAACATTACGCGTCAAACGCTCTTTCGACAAAAATCATGTCACAGTATTATCGACAGACTTCGAAAAGGCGTTTGATCGTGTAGGAATCCATACGATACTGTCACAGCTTGAAGAGTGGGGCGTTGGTCAGAAAACCTTTAACATCATAAAGGCCTTCATGACAAATCGCACTTTTTGGGTAAGGATAAATAATACCTTGTCAAACCACTTCAACCTATACAATGGTATTCCACAAGGATCACCACTTTCAGTAGTTTTATTTATCATATCATTTGAACAAGTATCAAATGTAATACTAAAATATAAAAATATAAGCCTTTCGCTTTATGCAGACGATGCTATAATTTTCACTAAAATCAAAGATATAAAAATTGTAAATAACATATTTTTAAACATACTAAAAAAATAGAAATATGGAGACTAAACTCTGGCGCGTCCCTCTCCAAATGTAAAATATTATATTACCCATCTGCCAAAAATCCAATTGTCACCCTACTAATCTTATGTTCAAAACCAAACCTATCGAAATTGTAAATGATCTCAAAATATTAGGAATTATTTTCGATAAAAGATTTACATCCGCAGATGTGTCAGTTATTGCAAAATGCTACAAATCAGTAAGCACGGTACAAAAGCAAAAACCATCCAAAAATCCCCGATGCTTGAGTCATCGAGCTACGACATCACACTCTACAAAAATAATTAAAACGATGTCTACCCTGTCATTCATCGTAAATTATTCCACGACTCCAAATCCGAGTTTACAACAACATTAGCCGTAGTACACGAAGACGGATCACTGATTGCCGTAGGCATACTCGAACCATATTGTTCGATATTTACAGCGGAAGCGACAGCCATTGAACAAGCATTGGATTTTGCAAGCCACAACAAAGGGAAATTTGCCATCTGCACTGATAGCATGTCCGTCATCGAAGCGGTGAAAAACATTTACAACAACAACCCCTTATTAAACAACATCAGAAATTTTCTCAGATACAGCAAAAAAACCAAACTAATATGGACACCAACCGGACCGGAAATGAATTCGCCGATTCCGCCACACGTTCCGCAGGCCAAGCAGCGTACCTAAATTTTCACACAACTGAACCAAAAGATTTGTCAAATTACATTGCTCGCAGTTTAACTGTAAAAAAGGAAATAGAGTGGCAGCAAGACCCCCATCGATACGTCACATTAAATCCAAAGGGCACAAGGGCAACATACCAAAAAACAACCCCAAGGCAGCAGTCTACAATAATGGTTCGCCTACGAATAGGCCACAGTAAATTGACACACGAACACCTCCTGACAGGGACTCCCAAAAAACCATGTCCCTTCTGCAAAGGATTATTATCCACAGACCACCTAATCCAGGACTGCAAAAAATTAAAACTCACGCGAGAAAGAATCTTCGGGCAAGTTGCTCCAAGAGATTTACTTACAAACATCACAAAAACAAACATCGAAATAATAAACCAATTTTTCAAGGAACTAGCCTTAAGCATGAAAATCTAATTAAAAAATATATGTACATAAATCAAACTAATTAAATTGCGCACGTGACAAATACCATAATATAACATAATGAAAATAACAATACCATTTTGAAAAGCTGAGCCGTAGGCACTGACAGCCAGTGAAAATCGGTGAGATTGTTTAAAATATAATTAAAAATAAAATTTCAAAGTTCCCCATCTTTCCCTTATTGAAAAAATTCGATTCAAAGTCAAGATCAAAATATGATGTTTTTTGCGATATTGCGTAATATGGTAAGTTTTCTCATAAAAATATCTCCAACCAAAATTATAGATTATAAAATTTTCTATAAAACATGTATAAGTATATTTTTCCCACTAGCCAATGTTTCGGAGATATAACGATTCAAAAATTTAGAAAAGTTGTAATAGTTATGATATGAACACGTTTCCACCTATGAGGTAGTGAACTTGTTCATCACGTTGTCTTTTATTAGTGGCAGCAATAGAAGACTTCCTAGTATAATTTTTAGGGCAACTTTCATGTAAAGTCACATATTTCCGATTTTTAAGATATTCCGAAAATTTATGGGCCCTTTCGATACTTGCATCAATTAATGTCTTCAGTAGTAACTTTACCTTCACCTAATATTTTAGCACAAATAAAACAATATTCAGAAATGTTTATTATAAAACTCAAAACAGCAAGATATACAAGGTACAATTCAAAAGATCCAGGACTTTTTAAATAACGCGGCTTCTAGTGGCGCCATCTGTCTGAAATTGTTATCCCTCAATTGTGAATTCTTCAGTGTTGTCGTATAAAATTAATATAACAGCTGACTTGTATAACAGCTGAGATATCGCGCTACATGTGACATAACATTTGTAGTGGCGGTCGGAAAATGAGCATCGAACAAAGAGCCAACATTAAGTTTTCTTTTAAACTTGGTAAAACTTTTACCAAAACTCATCAAATGATGAAACAAGTTTATGGCGATGATTGTCTATCCCGTAGCCGTATTCACGAGTGGTTTAAACGTTTTCAAGAGGGACGGGTGGACTTGGAAGACGGCGAACGTTCAGGCCGGCCAAAAGATGTTGTGAACGAAAAAAACACGGAAAGTGTGCGTGAATCCATTAAAAAATAGGCGAAATCATCGCTTAAATATATGGAATCGGAATTATCAATATCCGCAGCGTCGATTTATCGTATTTTGACGGAAAATTTGGGCCTCAGAAAGGTTTGTGCTCGATTTGTCCCGCACACTTTGAAACAACACGAAAAAGACCTCAGAATCAGACAGATTTTTTGACCAAAAATCGCATTCATATCATCAACCATTCACCCTATTCGCCTGATATGGCACCCTGCGATTTTTATTTGTTCGGAAAACTACATTTGGCCATGAAAGGAAACCGCAATGCTGATACCGACAAATGGCCTAAAAAAGTCATTTGATAACCTTCTTGAACGTGCAAAACGTTGTATTCAGGCGGAAGGAGACTATTTTGAAGGCGACCAATAAATTTTTCAAAAAAAAAAACAAATAATATTCGTTTTTTAATAAAAGTCCTGAAACTTTTAAATTGCACCTTGTAGGTTAGAATAAACACGTGTTTCACTAGAGCGTAGTTTTCAAGACTGACGGTATTTTATTTGTCATAGCAGGTATAAGATAGCCCGCATACTCTTGAACAGGAGTCGTATGTTCTCTGAGGGTCACAATGGCGCATAACTTAAGAGACTGGGTTTCTTTCTGCCTGATATTCTTATAATCATAACTTATGTATATCTTATATTTTAAGTGTAAGTTATAATAATCGATAGAAAAATATTTAAACATATACAGTAGGACCTCGATAGATCAAATCTCGGTAACTTAAAAACCTCTTTAACTTCAAAAAATTATATGTTCCCTTCCCATCAGAGCCCAAAACCTCAATAACTTAAACATCCTTTATAACTTAAATAAGTAATCTCTGTATTTGCCCTCAGTAACTGAAAGAAATGTTTTCACAACTTCTATAACATAAAATTGTTTGTCAATGAGTCATTTGAAAGAGTGTGCAAAACAAAAGGTTTCGCTATTTATTACTTGCATGTGTTAACGTAAACAATACATATCTCACCTATTGCTTGCTTCTTCGAAATTATTTAAAGCTTTGCGGTGGTTAGCCTTAAGACAACAACTTACTTGGATCATAATCATAAGTTTTTGATCATTGTCCTGGAAACATCGCTTTACCTACTGTGTGATAAAACTGGTTAAAATTAGCAAAAATAAAAAAACTAACAACACTCACTTTATTGAACCAATCCTTCTGACGCATTCCAGTAAAGAAGGGAACATACATACATATGTACATACCTACTTCTACATGAACTATAAATAATATAAACTAAAATAAGTTTATAATCTACAATTTTGTCGCAAAAAATCATATTTTTGGCCTCTTTCCTTGAAAAGAAGTTTTTCCATCCAGGTGAAAAATTGGGAGCTTTGAAATTTTATTTATAATTATATTTTAAACGATCTCAAAATTTTTCAGCCTGTTGTGATTTTATGTATCTTCACTCTCATTTTTTGGTCTAACTTGGCCGGACTATTATGAGTTTATATAGCATATGTATATATTTGAGTTAATTAGGTTGATTTTAAAATAAATATTTCGGAGACAAATTAAAACTTTGTAATTAAACTAAATGAGTCTAACTTAATAAGAATTTGGACCTTCTTTACTTGTTTAATATATGAAAAGTTCATTTACACCCAAACTTAGTCCTTACTTACCTGTTTAGAAGTGCATTTTCTTCCTCCAATAAAGCTGTTTCTACTACTGAAATTTGGGCTAAAAAATTTCTTCCAAACAAAGATCAAAGTTTGCTAAACGGTATCTTAATATTATTGGAATATATGTATTTTATTTAAAATATGAACATGTATACAATTTTTCCGTCATACAAAAAATTTTAAATTTGTAGCATTATTGATTACTAGCTTATGAAAGTGTAGGGCTACAAAGCTTTTTTTATAACCGCGCAAATATCAGCTGAAACAGCGATAAAATACAAAGGGCCGAGTGATGATGCAATGTGTGGTCAGCTATTAGACTAACTTTATTTGCAAAACTCTTCTCCTTAAATAATATTATATTCTAAACAATATTTCAGTACCGTTAAATACATAGTTTTGTTTTGTATTAATGCATATATACATAAGTATGTAAGTTATATACCTTTAACAGTTCATAAAAGGAGAATAACCCAAGTACATATTTTACGCTATTGCTCCTTCGTATATAATATATTATATTATTGTTATTAATAAAAAGGGAAATATAAAAAATGGGAACGCAGCATTGCAAGAGGCTGCTTACGTATTAAGCTTAGTACATGTTTAATGGCGCTAGCTAATGTGCACAAACAAATATTCATGTAATTGCGTGGACGAAAACATAGCGGTAGCATAGATGTACAAAGCAAGAGCAAGCAAGCAAATAAATATGTAAGTATGTACACAATGCAAATACATGCTTTGAGGTGAATGACTTCTAATGCTTGCCCTGGAATATTTTAGGCAAATATATAGAGAACAAGAAATAGCAGAAAGTGTATTAGAACATATGACCGTATAATGCATTGGTTCTCAATCGGTGACCAACATCCCGGCCCCGTTGAAAAGCATTTCAAACAGGTAGAAGTGCTAGCTTGTGAATGATTCCTTTCGTTGTTCGAATGTCCACCACACGCACTTTAGAGTTCTTTTTTGGAAAACAGTTTATAACTCTTCCAATGTGCCATTTTTGAGGTGGTAGGTTGTCTTCATGGATGATAACCATTGAGTTGTTGTTAATGGTTGGTCGCTCCGAAAACCACTTTGATCGTACTTGAAGTTCGTTGATGTATTTATTTGACCATCTGTTCCAAAACATCTGTTCAATGCTTGTGACCTGATTCCATCGTTGTACGTTGCTGATGTTAGCTGACAATCTCCGCTCTGGGAGTGCCCTCGGCTGTGGGTCTTGCATTTTTGATGGTGCGATTAACGTGACTCTTAGCTGATTTGACTGCTACCTCCCAAATACCGCCGAAATGAGGTGCTCTGGGAGGAATAAAATTAAAATTTATAAATTCATTAGCACAATATTTTATAGTAGCATCTTTGTTTTCCGTTTTAAATAAAAATGACTTTAATTCAGATTCACAGAGGGTAGATCTCTTCCTCCAATCATGCGCTTCAATGACGCCAAGAATGCGTCCGTGGATAGATCCGATACTAGTTCGATGTGAACCGCCTTTGTCGCTAGACAAACGAAGATCCCAATGTACGCTTTATAAGGTGTTTTGTCTCGAATACGCATATATACGTTGACTGGTCCGCAGAAATCAAGCCCGCACCGCGCAAAAGGGCTAGATGGAGTTAATCGCTCGACAGGTAACTATCCCATTACTTGGTTCATCAGCTTCGGCGTAATAAATAACGTAACGGGCCATTTATCGTAAGCTCTTTCTGTAAAAGATGAATTTCATTAGCGAAATGTATATGTTGAATATTCCAAATTATGCAAAGAAAGGCGTGATGTAACTCTCGTGGGGAAAGTGTTAGTGAGTCATTAAGACTGGCACCATGTCGAAATTTATTGATGAAGCGGAACGTCCAAGCTATTAATCGAAGGATGCTGGTGTAGTTACTTCGCGGTTTCACAATTTCCAAAATGTAATTTTGCTAACAATTGTATTGAATGCTGATTTTCGTTTCTTCCCATTGACAACTTCCATGTCGATATCGTCGTAGCTGTTCTTTGGCCATTTATTTGAGTTTTCGTATAGAAACTTTGGTCCGGTGAATTAACAAGTTCGTTTACAGTACATCCTCTAGAGGAAGCAACGGCCGGGTTACAATGCGTTGATTTTTCTTAGGTGTCACTCTAGACTTCGCAATGAGTAGGCGAATGGTAGTAATAGTGCCACATTTGTTGATAACGCGATTATATATTGCGCAGCCATATGCCGAATCGATGCGTCACAAAATCCATGTATCTGAAGAGATTTCACAGCTGTCGAAAAACAGAGCCTCGGCACTTTAATTAGTGAAAGATCCGATAAGCAGTTAAGAAATTTTTTCAAGCAAATTCGATATTCTGTGTCACAGATTCATCCCAATCCAACTTTAGTAGCCATATTTCTTGCAACAAAATTTGTTATTGTATAATAACAGGAACTAAAAGTCCAAGTGGGTCGTAAAGTGATTATGCAACAGAAAGAATGGAACGTTTTGTAAGTCGGCCAGTCAGTGCTAGTTTTGCTTCAAATGAAAAAATTAAACAATCAAGATTTTGGTTCCATTTTAGTCCAAGTGTACTAGTGATGGATGTATCTAAGTTTAGATCATTTATAGAGTCGTCTTCTCTGAATTGATGATAATTGGAATGCCACTTTGTTAATTTAAACTGTCCTAATTCTAACAGTTGTATTACCTTTTGCTTTATCTGTACAAGTTCGGTTAGAGTATCAGCACCACAGAGTAGGTCGTCTACGTAGAATGATGACCTCACGATTTTTGCGCCAATTGTAAATTGTTCTGAATGCTGCTCAGCTAAATAGAACCGTATAGCAAGATATGGTGCAGCAGCCATTCTATACGTTACAGTATTTAGTTGATACGTGCGAATATCTTCAGTTGGTGAACTCCTGGAACTTCCTTGAATATGTTGGCAGTGAGTGAAAACCTGTGGAATCGGAAACGAAAAAAAAAATCGCATTGAATTGTAGGGCCAACCATCTGAATATCGTTTAATGATTTTTGGGATGTGGTTCGACAGGAAGCGTCAAATACATTTCGAAGCATTGTTGTTGTACTTTTTGGTTTTAGAACACAATGATGTGGTATATAATAATGCGGTTCGCTGAGATGTGGATTTTTAATATAAAATTCATCATCAGCGAGCGTTTATTGTGTGGAATATTCCATGTTGAAATATTGATTTCAGGATCTGGTTGATAAGCAATGTGCGATGTAATACAAAAAGTCAATGGAAGTTCGAAGCCAATGACTTGCGACTTGATGTTAGTTGAAGTTTTGAATTTAATATTTGTTGACGATGAACCGATGCTTTGAATCTGTATGTTTTGCTTATTTCTTGATTCGAAAAATCATCCCTAATAAAATTTACCTGTGAACAGGAATCTAGCAGTGCTGTACCCAATTTGTAGCTCCCCGATGCATCACGAACGAAAATTTTTGCTGTTGCAAGGATGACGTTATCCAGCGATGAATAATTCTTGTGTGTATGCGTGACTGCCTCCTGTTTTGTAAATACCTGAGTAGGTGTTTGTTGGCCTGAAGAAGAACCGCGGTAGAGCAAACTGTGGTGTTGCCGTGCACAAACCTTGCACCTGTGTGTTGATGGACAATTGGCTACATGATATCCCTTTAATAAGCAATTGATGCAAAGTCTAATTTTCTTTGCATGATCGAAACGTTGAGTTATGTTTAGTGACTTAAAGCGATCGCAATTAAAAACCTGATGGTTGTTACTGGAACAGAAAGTACAAGTTATGTTGGAGCAGAAAAATGTATAGCCTCGTGGTTGATTCCTTGATTTCGAACTGGAGTATTTGTTAGCACCTTGAGTTGACGAAGTACTAACATGCGTGTTGTCCAGTGATTCCAGGTATTGGCAGTGTCTTTCCAAAACTGTGGTACAATTCTCCTATGACGGCAGCGTTCTGAAATCTAGCGACTCCTTCCACTTTTTGTTGGTCTGTTCATCAGACTTCTGCAAAATTAAATGAATAAGAATAGCTTGCGATATTTGGCAGTCGGTACCTAGCGATGTCAAGGAATCATAAACTGCTAGTAAATCAAATAACGAATTTATTCCTTCCAAAAAAATTAGTGTTTTGTTGTCATATCGTAAATAGAACATATGACCGTATAATGCATTGGTTCTCAATCGGTGACCCAACAGAAAGTTTATATTGTTTTGAATAATGCCGTTTTGATTTCTATATGTTGCAAACAATTGTTAGTGGATACAATTAACATATTCTGATATTATTAAAATACCGTAACTTTTAATCGTTTTTATATAAAATTCTTTATATTTTTACAGGTTCCTGTCATTCTCTCAATATCAAGACCTAAAAATTACGTCACGTTATTTAACAGCCAACTAAAGTCAACTGAATCGCAGTAAGTGCTTGCTGTAGAAATTAATCTATAAAACTAACGGCCTACTAACTTTGGAAAATTGACAATTTGCATCCACTTTATTTAGATAATTAATTTATCTAAAAAAAAATGGGTGCTAATTGCTAGTTTAAAAAAAATGTTGCCCATTGATAGTCCTTTTCTTGCACTAATATGGTACATTTATATGTACCTAGCTTATGCTAGGTTCTTTTTAATATCAGTCAGGCGGTTTTTGGAATTCGAGTGAAAGTGGAAATGAAAATGAATACAAAAACGAGTGAATTTGGTTTTGGTGTTCTGAAATATGAGAAATCTGATCATTTTCGCTCTCGTTTTTATTCCAACATGCAAATGAATAAAAGCATAAATTATTCAAAAAATTAACATAAAAAACCAAATAATAAAAAAATTGGGTGCTTTTAGTATATAAAATGTTTGCTGCGCTCTGCATAATATTTGCAAATACTATAAAGTGCAAGAATTAGTAGAGTGTGATTTTATAGATGATGTAAGTGGGCCCACTATTAATGAAGGAGTAACATACGAGACCATAATAAATGAAGAGGCTACAGAAATGCAGAATAATAGAGCCATTCATAAAAATTCGTAAAATTGTGAGCGTATACTAAAATAGTACAAACATTAATATATGGACTTCAAAATAAATAATTTAATTCAAAATATCCACAATGGTGTATATGCGGCACAACTAGGCAATCGTATCTCGTTTCGATTGGTGTGAATTTATTAAACCACCAGTTGCTCTTGCTTTAGAAGGGTGTTGGCAACTTTTTTCCTGATGAAAGCCTTCCAATCCATCCGAACCTTATGAAACAGTAGCTTAAGAAAACTTCTTCAAAAGATGAAAATTTCTGGTTTTTATCTTGTTAAAAGTAACCAATTCCTTGCAGAGCTCAACGACTATATTTTTTCACAAAACCTTAAGCAATGTTTCTATGAGCTTCCATAATAATAATTGCATTCTTATATTTTCCCCTTTAATAATCATTTACATTACATTACGTCGAATAATGAATTTTCAATTAATCTTCAACATTATTTAATATATTTTTCGACAACACCTGAAAATATTTTCCCACCTTTTAGCCATGCAAATGTTCAATGTTCGCTAAGCCTCATAATCACTATATAGCGTACAAGTATATTAGGGCCAGGCGAAGATCCCGAATTATTACATTAATGTTTGGCAGTACTCAAGTATACTTGAGAACATGTTTTCATGCTATTTCGTGTAGATAATTCTCACATATTGATAATAAAGTCTACTAGGGTATCGAAAATTATTTCACGTTTTTTATGAGAGGCGGGGTAGATCGTGGATAATTTTCCACATTTTCAGCATTAAAATATGGTGTATCCAGTGTTATATGTTTACTTAATTAACCGATATATACGTTATAAAAACAACCGGAAGGGATGAATTAACCTGATGTTATCCAATTTTCGTACTACAACATACCATTACCATTACAATAGATGCTCTCTGAGTTTCATTTGGAAACTAGAGTTGGAAACATTTTATAAAGAATCGATTCTCGATTCCGATTTCGATTTTTTAATTTTCGATTCTACGAATCAATCACTCGATCACAAGAACCGATTCTTTCGATTGTAATCGATTCTAATTTTATAGTTAAAAAATTTATTTATAATATCGCAATGCCATGAACGGATTAATTTTGTGTCTTTTATTCAGATGTTTAATCAAACTAGTCGTGCTGTTATTATATTTCAGCTGCTTCGCACATTTATTGTAGTGGACTATACATCCATTATTTACTTTTTTAAAATACATCCACACGGCGCTAGGCGCTAGTTTCATAAATATGTATATTGACAAAATAATAACATTTAGTTGTAAATATATAAATAATAAGTACTGGAAAAAGATAAATATATATTTGTATACCTTTCTATTATATGGTTTGTTATGATATTGTAATGGTATGTAGAATATGAAACTAGTCACCTAACCGTCAAATCAAATATCAAGAATAAATTCTTGATCGATTTCGGAAGGTAAGGGTCGACTCTGGTGAATTGATTATTTTATGAGCAAAATGAACCAATATATATAAGGAATAAATTCAAGCTGATCATTGGAAATCCTTATACTAGATATATGGGGGCTAGGGGAAGTATTTCCCAGATTTAAGGCACAAAGATACATGTTACTGTAAAAGTACAATATGTCAGTTTCATTAAGATAAAAGGTCAGCCGGAAGTTCGAAAATCTTTATATTAGGTATATTGGAGCTAAGGGAGTATTGACCCAATTCGATATTTGACATACAGACATACTACTTTCTATCAGAAAAGAATTCAAAATATATTTCACAGATTGACCAATAGTTTCGATGAAAAGTTAGCAATAGTCCTTGGAGTCCCCATATTCGGTATATGGGGCTTGAACGATTATGATCAGATTTGGACAAATTTCGGACTCCAGAAGGCGTATATTAAAAGCAACATTTGTGTAAAGTTTTACCTCGGTATATTCATTGGTATCGCGCCAAGTCTGCAATTTTGATACCAACGCTTATATAGCTCTTCCGTGCATAAATTTAATGCTTTCGAATTGTTTATTTAGTGAGTTATCGTACTTTTAGTAGTTTTCACCGTTATATGGAGAGTGGTCGGGATAATTACCCGATTTTATTCATTTTCATTGTGTGAGAAGAAGTGCTTAAAAGATTCGTCTTGAGCTAATTTGGTTAGTATATGTTAGCGGGTTGTGATAATAGTAGATTGTGAGATATGTACATTAAGCTTATTAGGGGCGGGGTTACTCCTACTTCTGGAAAAGTTTTAAACCATAGATGCCTCTTCTTAATGCGGTTCACTGCACCAAATTACAGTTTTGTATCGTAATTCTTAGTAATGGCACTTTATAAGTTTTAAATTAATGGCGTGGTAATCTATTAATAAAGGCTGGAATCTTTGCAGGCTCTCAAATAAAAAAATTATGGATTGTAATATTTTCCTGAAGTTACTTAGCAATGAGGAGAAAAAAGCGTACCAAGGAATACGTGTACCACGTTTCATCAAGATATCTAAATTTTTTCCTAAGTTTTCCCACAGTTTGCACGGACAGACGGAAGGACGGACAGACAGTCAACCGGAATTCAACTGGTCTCCTAATTCATCTCATCCTGATCTTTTACATACATTTAACTCCATATCCAATTCCATTTGTTTAGGTGTTAAAATAACCGTTAGATGAAGCAAACTATAATACTATGTTGCAATATAATGCGATAGTATAAAAACGTTGCTTAAGAATTAAATATGCATTGTACGACAAACCTGAGTGGCTTACAATCTTATCAACTTCTGTATATTGTGGGACGTAGACTTGGTTTCATTACTACATTTTGTTCTTAAGGTAGTATTGACCCGATTTTTATCCAAAAGGACACAAAGTTATTAGAGAGACGGGGCACATGTCACATGTTGACCGTTATATTATATATGGTATAAAGTCAACCTAAAGTTCGAAAATCATTATATTAGGTGTCAGATACACTGTTTGCTCATTTTCTTACCTATAACTAAAATACAGGAGCTAGGATAGTTCTTGAACCGATATCATCCATTTTCGGCATTAAACTATAGTATGTAGTTATATACAATATAATATAATACCTTCAGTTAATTTTGCTCAGATATCTTACATATTGACCGACATGAACGGTATAAAGACAACCGGATGTTTGAAAATCCATATATAAGGTATATGGGACTAGGGGAAGAATTCATCCGTCATTTTGGTATTTTCTAAAACCAAACGGCCACCGCAATGACATCGTCCAAATTCGGCCTAGTTATCGCTTGCACAGACTGACGGACGGATGAATATATTGTCTCCCAGACAACTATTATGCACTGTAGCTCATGTTGGGGTTCTCGGAATGATAAAATATTTTGATCCAAATTTATACTGAAGCCCGCCCAGTCTTTGCACGGGTATTGAAAAAACATTTTAAGGTATACGTAAGTTTTAACACATACTCTCTTTTTTGTGCGTGGGGTTACTGAAAAAACTGTAAAATTCCTAATTGGCAGGCACACGTTGTTTTGCCATACATGTCATATTTATGAAATGTTCCTTAAGAATTTTTTTATGAAAGATTTTTCAAAATGACTACAAGGTGCGTTCCAAAGTAAACAGGACTTTTAAAAAAAAAGACAGAACAAATGGTTTTATCGGCAAAATCAATTAGTTTTATTCAAAATAGTCTCCTTCTGCTGTAATACAGCTTTTTACAGGGTCCAAAAGCATGTCGAACGAGTGTTTTATCTCGCTGCCCGGTATGGCCGCCAGTATGCCAGTGCAAGCCTTTTGAATGGCCTCCATTGATTGTTAAATGTGGTTTTTGGTCAAATAATCGGCCACAAGCGTCGATCGATGAGACCGCGCATTATGGTGCAACAAACGCCAACTTCCATCTTTGCGATATTCGGGCCGAACACGTCGAATACGGCGCACCAAACGCTTCAAAACTCCAAGGTAGAATACCGCATTAACGTTTTGTCCGGGTAGAACAAATTCTTTGTGGACAATACCCTTGGAATCATAAAAACAAATTAGCATTGTCTTCATTTTTGACATCTCCTGGCTCGATTTCTTGGGTTTCGGCTCATTTCTCATTTTACTTTGAAACCATTCGTGCACTCTGCTACGGGATAGGCAACCATCGCCATAAACTTGTTTCATCAATTGAAACGTTTTGGTAAAAGTTTTACGAATTTAAAAAACAAAATTTATTGTTGGCTCTTTGTTCGAAGCTCATTTTCGCACCGATGACAAAAACATACTGACACTTAAAACGCAATAACTTCCCTTCCAATAGATTAAATGTCATGAAATTTTTACTGGAAGTCGATAAAGGATAGAAGATTGTAACGCACTAGTCGACATATAGATGGTGTCACTAGAGTTTACTTTGTTACTTTGGAACGCACCTTGTACTTAAGTGTTTGGTTGTAATTATTACTGAAATCGGAATGAAGAGTTGTAGACAATTAAAGTATACTTTATCTAAGTTAAGTTATAGCAAAGAAAATATAATAAATTACAATTTATGATAGAAATCTTTACATCGAAAATAGCGCTCCCGCGCTTGCAGTTGCTGCAGTCGCTAAGTTTGTGCCAACGCATTTTTACCGATGTTCTCGTTGACGTACATGCGAAAAATGTTGTGCACTTCTACACATCTTCTTCTTTCTAACGGTGTAAATTTCTTTTATATATGTATGTCAACGGCAACACATTTAAATAGGAGAAAACAAACACAAACAACAAACACAAACCTTTTTGTTAGCATAATTAAATTTAAAAAAGAAATTTGGCATAGAGGATTGCAGTAGCAGGGGACACCTGTAGTGTACAAATTTTCTAAAAGTGGGTGTGGCCCCTACTACTAAAAAATTAATGTACATATCTCTTAAACTATTTAAGCTATATCACCCAAATTCACTGGAGATAAATCTCTTAATACCTCCTGCCGACGGTGTGAAAAAAGATGAAATCGGATTATAACCCTGCCCCTTCTCCATATAATGGTTTTGTTAGAAACTACTAAAAAGTGCGATAAATCAGTTCCAAATGCTTTAGAGATATATAATTTATAACCGAGAGGGTATGAGAGAGAGAGAGGGGCTTTATTGGAGCCATTTTTTTATTATTTCCAACACCTGAAGATATTTAGTCGGTATATAATTCTTTCCAAAGTTTTCAAAGAAAAACACTCACCACCTTTCGCCTTTAATACAATTGTAATTTTATTTTGTAATTGAAAGTACGGGTTTTATACACTCCCTAAATACCACAATCACTTGCGACGCAGCGCAGAGAAGAGGAAAAAAAATGTATATAAATGCCTTTGATAGCAATTTAACTGGTTCGGATCAGATCCGCTGATGTGACGAATCCACGGATGACGGTGCTTTCGCTGCGAGTTCAAAAACGAAGAAGAGGCAAGCCGATTCTAGTGTCCGTGGTTTTGTTGATGGTTGGTGGGGTGATCGCCCGGTGTGTTGTGTATCCTGGGTGGTAGGGTCGTTGTGTGAGGTGTATGTTGCGTGAGGTGAGGTGGTGAATGTTGCGAGAGGTGATGTGGTGAATGTTGCGTGTCAGGGATGTGTGAGGTGTGTTGGTGTAAGTTTTCGGGACGACGTAGGCTCATTTAGCCAGTCGGCTTTGACCCTTGAAAGGTGCAAGAGTATGTTCCGTTACACCCGAACTTAGCCCTTCTTTACTGGTTCTACTTCTAATCATGGTAATAAAATAAATAAAAAAAAGATTAATTTCCCAACGCAATAGAATATACAATATATTTGGTAAGTACGTTTTAGCGAATACAAACAAACTGGATGGTTTGCCCACACAAAAACACGTTACATATAGTCCGTTCGAAATGCATGGTGTGCCCAAATCTAAGCCACAAACAGACTACGTTTGGCCTTGTGAATTATTGGTTGTAATTGCGAATGCTTATCTAATTGGAAATGGAGAGCATTTGAATTCAAT